GATGCCATCTCCTGCTCCATGGCAGCTATCCACTGAGAGGCCCAAGGTCCCGAGGTGGCCTCAGCGTAGGTGCGAGGGGTCGGGATGTCGAAGGCGTCTGGGTCACCCTCAGGGACTAACAGCATGGAGCAGAGATGGGGAGCAGCCTCGGAAAGGAAAGCCAGCTCGTACTGCCTGTCCTCTAGGACGTCACTGCCAAGGGCAGGAGCACCCCCGACGGACAGAGGACGGGCAGGGTCAGAGACCAGAGCGGTAGCGTAGTCAAGGCGGCGGGTAGAAGCGAAGTCAGCGACAGCAGCGACAAGCGCGTCAAGGCGCGAGACAGGAACAGCAGGGTCGGTAACAAGAGAGGCAAGGACCCGAGGGACAAGGGGACGAGCAGCACGGAGGTAGTCAGAGAACGGAGGAGGTGCAACAGCAAGGGACGAGGGAGGAGGGGACGGGAGGAGGGGAGGACGAGACGAGTGGGAACGGAGCAACATAGGGTGGGTGGGCAGGACAGGAGAGACGGGACGAGCACGGGAGGGACGGCGAGCCCAAACGTGAGACGGAGGGGTAGGGTCAGGGGACAGCGGAGGAGACACAGGAGGGGAACGAGGAGGAAGACGGGCCGGAGACGAGTCTGGCGGCGGGAACACAGGACCGTAGACAGGGAGGTCAGGAGGCGGTGGGGGAGACACCGGCGCGCGGTCCGGGGAGGGAAGGCCGAGCAGGCGGAGAGCGGAAACCGGCGGCGACGGCTGCTGTGGCGGCGACGACGGCTGGGCCGGAACTCTCGGACCAGCAGAGGCAGAACGACCGTCGGCAGAACACTCAACAGCAGCACCCCCAGAACCAACACCCCAAGAGCGAGAACCCCCTCCAACACCAGCGGCACCCCCAGAAGCCGCAGGACGAACACCCTCCTCCACACCAGCACCCCCAGGGGCCGAGAGCAACGGCGGCAGTGGCGGCGACAGCGGCGACGGCTGCGGCGGCGACGGCGACGGCGGCGGCAGCGGGGTCGGCGACTGCGACAGTGGGGGCAGAGGCACTGGGGAAGGGGGACGCGGCAAGGACGGACCGGGGGTACCACCAGAGTCAGCAGACTCCTCAACGGGGACAACCGACGGGAGGGGAGTGACGTGGGAGACACCAGACGGGGCAGGACGAGGCGGGAGAGGGGCAGGGGCTACCGGGGGAGAGGGAGCAAGGAACAGGGGGGGGGCAACTGGGAGACCTCGGTGAGGGAAGCGGCGGTAGAAGGAGACGGACTCGTCAAAGGTGACGTCACGAGAGTGGAGGAAGCGGTGAGACGGCGGGTGGTAGAAAAGCCAGTCAGACGAGTCCAGGGGGAAACCGAGGAAGACACAGGGGACAGTGCGGGCAGTGAGCTTGTCCGTGCCAGAGGCACGAACGTGAGCAAGGCAGCCCCAGACGTGGAACGCAGACGCGTCACCGGGGGACCCGGTCCAAAGGAGGGTCGGCGAAACCTGCGGCCGCTGGGAGCGTGGCCACAGGTTAAGCTGGTGAGCCGCGTAGCGAACAGCGAACGGCCACAGAAAATGGGGGGCATCGGCATGGATCATGGAGGTACGGGCGACCTCCATGACCAAGCCGATGCGGCGCTCAGCAACCCCATTCTGCTGTGGCGAGTCCGGCAACGTGTACGACTGGGTGATGCCCTCCGCACGACAGAACTGTCCAAGCCGACCAGAGGCGAACTCGCCGCCACGGTCGGAGTGGAGACACAACACGGGGAGACCGCGGTGGAGACGCGCAGCTACAACCCACGGGAGAAGAACGTCGGGCACGTCGGCCTTCCGCTCCAGGGGAAACACCGTGGTGTAGCGCGTGTAGTCGTCAACGAGCACAAGGAAGTAGCGCTCACCGCGCGGTCCGGGGACGGGGGCAGGGCCCCAAACGTCCAAGTGCAGGGTCTGAAGGGGGGCAGTAGCAGGACGCAGCGAGGAGGAGTGAGGAGCACGGCGGAGCCGACCCTCGACGCAAGGCGTGCACGGTGGCGCAGTCGAGGGAGGAAGGGCAGGGAGCGACGCGGGGAGACCTAAGACAAGACCGTGCTGGGACATGTGACGCAGACGCGGGAGAGCAGGGTGACCTAAGCGGTGGTGCCAGAGAAGGGAGGGGTGAGTGAGGGACCGACACGAGCAAGCTGCAGCGACCTGGGAGGACGCACCAACCGGGGGGGAAGCGGTGTGTAGGGTAAACAGACCGGACACCGGGTCCCGGGGGAACGTCGCAAGGGGGGAACCTGAGACAGCCTCAGAACAGACAGCGAACCGCTCGTGCCCGGGGAACGTGGTGGTGACGCCGAGGTCCTGGAGACAGCCGACACCAACCAGGTTCCTGGAGAACGAGGGAACGTGGAGGCCAGTAAGGGAGCCCGAGGGAACTGCCGGACAGGGAAGGGACGTAGAACTGCGCGCGACGACCGGACCCGCAGAGGGGTCAGCGAGAGAGACAACAGCAGGTGCAGCAAGCGGCGTGAGCGTGGAACGGTCGCGGAAGAAGCAGGCAGAAGCACCAGAGTCGAGAGTGAAGGACAGCGACGCAGTGGCGGAGGCCGCGGACGGAGCCGGTGCAGCGACTAGACTAGGCAACCTAGGCAGTCCTACGCCTGTCGCAGCAGGGGAAGCTAAGCTACACAAGGGTGAAACACCTAAACTAGAGTACACATGGTAGTAAGATCCATCAACACTAGAAGCGTCAGCATACAAAGCATGCAAAGCAGCACCTATCTGATCCATGTCTAACTCAAAGATCGGCACGCCCTGGCGGAGCAGGCTGTGCCAGTCAGGGAGGTCCGGGGCCGGGCCAAAGCGACGACGAAAAAGATCGTCGAGGCGGCGGAAACAGTGGGCGGTCGGGTGCGGGCGGCGGCACAGAGTGCCGCGGAGAGGCCCGGTCTGAAGCTGGTACTGGCAGGTCACAGCACTGGAGCCGCTGGTAGACGCCAAGCTGCGCGGGCCGCCACCACGGCCACCGCCTCCGGAGGTGCCGGGCCAACCAGGCGGGAGACGAGCCCACGGCTGCGGCGGGTGCTGCTGGGACGGCGGCTGCGGCTGGGGCTGGTCCTGCTGCTGCTGGGACTGCTGCTCCTGCCCACCGGTGGTAGTCCCCTCAGGCGGACTACCGTCACCACCACCACGACCACTACCACCTGCGTCACCACCCCTACCTCCCTGGCGGCCACGGCCACCGCGACGCGAGCGCTGCTGCGGGTGGACAGCAGCAGCCGTCTCGGTAAGAGGGGTCGCCGTGGCGACCGCAGCCGAAACGTCAGTGAACGTGCACGGGGATGGGGCACAACCGTGAAAGATAGAGACTGCCGGCGCACCGCTCGACTGAGCGATAGTGCGCTGGCGAGTCTCGATCTCAGTGAGGGTGTCGACAAAGGCGGTCAGGGTGAGGTCACCCGGGTGCTGGCTAAGAAAGTGGTCGCGAGCACTAGCGAGGCGGTCTGGCAGGCGCATAGCGATAAAATAGAGCGTCATGCAGAAAGGAGGGGGGAGCGCAGTGAGCTGGGCAGCAGTGCTGGCAGTGCGATAGCGAGTCTCTAGGGCACGCAAATGAGTGGCAAAATCTGCGACAGTAGGGAAGGCAGCCAGGTCTGGGAACAGCATCGGAAAGAGCAAGCGGCCAGCAGAAGCGAAGGCAGGGGTGGAATAGCGAGCAATAACGGCTTCTAAATAAGCTTTGGCCGTTTCAACAGTAGCAAAACGCGAGCGCTCAGACACAGGGAGGGCGTGACTAATAGCAACCTGAGCTACTGCATCGCGTGAGTCCCAGACCGCACAGGCTAGCGCAGCAGTAGAGAAAGCCTCACGGTCATCAGAGGAGGGGTCAGCAGGGAGGGGAGTAGGTGCAGGGGGACGGGGGAGCAAGCCATCAGCATGGACAACCAGAGAGTGGCCATCCTGGCGCTGACCTGTAAGCTGGCGGCGAAGATCGGAGAGCCAGGCGGCGAAGTCAACCGCGTGGCCCTCAGCGTCCAGGCGGAGCACAAAGTCAGCCATCGTGCAGGGTCAGCGGCACAGCTCCTCAGCGACACAGCGGCACAGCAGCACAGCTCCTCAGCGGCACAGGAGCACAGCGGCGCGGGGACACGGCGGCAGCACTCTCCAGTAGGGCAGCAGCTAGGCGTCCCAGCGCAGGCAAGCAGAAGACACAGGGCCCGAGAGGACACGGCAGGCCGAGCAGGGGAGGCGGGCAGGTGCTCTGGGGCCGGGCTGGTGCTGGGAGGGGCCAGGCTGGTGCTGCTGGGGCCGGTCGGGCACGAGGAGGGGCCGGGCAGCGCTGAGGAGAGGCCGGGCGGCGCTAGGAAGGGGCCGGGCGGCACTAGGAGGAGGCCGGGCGGCACTAGGAGGAGGCCGGGCGGCACTAGGAGGAGGCCGAGCGGCACTAGGAGGAGGCCAGGCGGGCGAGCGCTAACAGCAGGCGCGACAGGGGCCAGCGGGCGCGACGGGGCCTAAGGGGCGCGACGGGGCCCAGCGGGCACGACGGGGCCCAGGGGGGGCGCGACGGGGCCGAGGAGTCGCGACAGGGACCAGCGGGCACGACGGGGCCCAGGGGGGCCGCGACGGGGCCTAACGGGCGCGACGGGGCCCAGGGGGGGCGCGACGGGGCCTAGCAGGCGCGACGGGGCCTAGGAAGCGCGAAGGGGCCCAGCGGGCGCGACGGGGCCTAGGAGGGGCGCGACGGGGCCGAACGGGCGCGACGGGGCCCAGAGGGGGGGGACGCGACGGGGCCTAGGGGGCGCGACGGGGCCTAGGAGGCGCGACGGGCGGAAGCGGTAGGCGGGGGGATCCTAACCTAAGCGTGATACCATGTTAACGTAGAAACGAATGATTACTAGAGGTGGAAACCTAGAACAAATACTAGTTGGTTGTACTCACTAGAAGCATACCTCAGTCTAGCCTATAACTTCTACATAGATAATATGTATAAGTTGACAGTTCTGACATATTTTTCCTTATTCCTCCCCTTCTGTGTGCATGTGTAGTGTAATGCATAATCTCTCTTTCAGTACGTAATCTAGCCACTGAACTCCTGCATATGGCCCTACTCCTAACCTCACGGCTGCTGTTCGTTAGCCACAGCCTAGCCATGTCTCTACTAGTTATCAAGATAGGAGAAAGAATTGAGTAGCACAAGCAGAGGACAGAGTTTGTATCTAGGTGTTGTACTCCCTACAATCTGCACCTAGCTAGGCTATAGTGCATATACACCAGATATATATATGAACGCTAGCAGTTGTGTCTCTGTCAGCGTGTCACCCCTACTGCTGATTGAACCACTGAGTAACAGACCTGTACACTGGCGCTCGTGCTCTTTCTGCTCTTATCTTACCGCATGCATGCTATGCACTCGTGCTGAGTGGTCCCGCTCGAAAGTAGGCATGTTGTAGAGCCTCACGAGCTGTGATTCGGTCGCCCTAATAACAACATGACGGGCAACGGAAGGGAAATTAGGGAAATTGAGATGGCAGGGGGCATGGCAGTTACAGCAGAAAAGAAAATCTTAAGAACCATACTAGACTGCAACAGCAGGTTAGACTGGCTTTCATTCATAGCTGCAACACACACATTGCTCACATATGCACAGCGGGCAAGAGGACAAACCAACCAAACTTACAGGGTACCACTGTAGCAGCCGTCGCAACAGGCGAAGGGCCAAGATGTTAGGCAAGCTGAGGAGGTGGAATTAGTTTGACGGAGGTCAGGGGAGGGAGTGGGGATGAGGGAGGGAGTAGTGAGGAGTGAAACTGAAGCAAATCGCACTATCCATCACCTCACTCGGAAATGAAACCCTCGGGAATCGGAAATTCCACCCATTTCCTAACAACAATAATAAGGTGTGCTTCTCTCACCCTCTTTTGAGTGGGTCCCTGAGTTTCAGTTGTGCAGCAATGCTCGCTTCACTACACTCCCACGGCGCCACCACACTCCACTCCCCTCCACCCCCACCGCTGCCGCCACTGCTGGCACTGCCAATAGTGCTGCTGCTGCTGCCGCCGCTGCCGCTGCTGCTGCTGCTGCTGCCGCTGCCGCTGCTGCTGCTGCGGCCTTGAGGGCTAGCGCCACCACCGTGTTCCCTCCTACCCGCCTCATCATTGCTACTCTCATGCCCCTCCCCAGAACGGCTGGAGAAGGTCAGAGACGCTGGTGAGGGGGATGGAAAGCTGGAGGAGGAGGGCAGGGAAGGGGAGAAGGCCGCAGATGTAGAGGATATGAATGGCTTTTCCAAGTGCACTGTCCCTCCTTGCAGGCCCACACGCTCCATATGTGGCTGGTGCAAACGCAGCCTCTCACCCACTGCCCCTACCCCTGCCCCTGCCCCTGCTTGCGGATGCACAGTCCCCAAGGCTCCTTCTTGCGGCTGATCGCCCTGCAGCCTCTCACCCACTGCCCCTGCCCCTGCTTGTGGATGTGCACGCTCCACGTGCGGCTGGCGCAGCCGCAGCAGCTCCTGCACGCCCCAACTCTTCTTGCCTCGTCCACCACCCGCCCCACCCTCCCTCGCCACCTCCCCCGCCTCTTTCTTTGCTTTCTCATTGTCCTCCCTCCCCTCCTCTCTGTGTGTCTCCTCTTCCCCCTCGGTCCACTCGTTCTGTGCTGCTGCGTGCTCGCTGCCCTCTGCTCCCAGTGAAACTCTGCCAGAAGCATGGTTGACACCCAGAGCCAACAGTGCAGCTGGTCCTAGGGTTTCCTTGCTCCTGGCCCTCTGGACCGTGCCTTCAGCTGTCCAATGCGGATGGCTCCAGGCCTTACTCCCTTGAGACACTCCCCCGCTCAGGCCCGTTGTTAAGAACGTGTCTTCCTGTGCCTCTGCCACAGCTGCAATTTCACCTTCACTGGCTGCAGGCGCGCTTTCCTCTTCCCCTGCTGCAGGCGCGCTTTCCTCTCCCCCTGCTGCAGGCGCACCTTCCTCTTCTCTTCCGTCCGACATGCCTCCCTCTTCCCCTTGTGCAGCCGTGCTTTTGCAGTCGTCTCCCCCTGCTGCAGGCGTGCCTTCCTCTTCACCTGCTGCACCCATGCGCTCTTCTTCCACTGCTTCGAAGACGGTGGGCGTGAATATGCACAGCTCCATCCACGCGCGAAGGCTGGGAGGAAGGGCGGAAGAAGAGAATGAGGAAAGGGAGGAGTTTAGGGTGCGACACATAGAGCGATGCACATATAAGCACCTCCGATATGCACATGTAAACACGTCCGAGATGCACCAGAATGTACACGGACCGGGGATTGAGTCACACCTTACACAGCCCGACCCAAGCATGGAGAAGGGAGAGGGTGAGGAACAAAAACTTCCTCTGTTTCAGGGAACGATGGGTGATTGCACGAACCAGGAAGGAGCAAAGAAGAGAGGCTCGGACTGGGAAGAAGCAAAAGAGGAAGTGAATCTTGGGGAACAAGGGAATGGACACGAGAGTAGATACAGAAAACAAGGGAGTTGGTGGCGAGGGATAGAGGAGTGGAAAGGAGGAAAGAGCACCTGGATAGTCAGAGTGGGCTGATCACTCTTGCCTCACAGCAAGGCAGGGTGGCAGAGGGAAGGGGAGACCGTGGAACCAGGTGTGGGGGGGGGAGTGAGGGAGAGGGGGAGAGGGGGAGGGGGAAGGGGGGAGGGGCGAGGGGGAGGGGGAAGGGAGAGGAGGAAGGGGAAGGGGAAAGGGTGACTGGGGGAGAGGGCTCACAGGTAGGCTGTTCTCCTGGCGGACTCTGGCCATCGTGCCGCTTGCAGAGATCGATCCAACAGAGCCTGTGGAACGCAGGGGGGGAGAAGGGGAGTGGAGATGGGGAGTGGAGAAGGGGAGTGGAGATGGGAGATTGGAGAGGGGAGTGGGGAGAGGGGAGAGGGGAGGATGGAAAAATGCCAGTTTGTGTGCAACAGTGGACAGCGAAGACACCAGGAGTTGTTGAGAGAGGGCAGTGGGGCGAGGTAGTGCGGATGAGGGTGCAACCGTTGACAGCCGTCGAAACTGCAATGCTTTCATTTGAAGAGGTAAGTAAAGAGAGCCTGAGGAGGGGATCCGAATAGGGAATCATTTCGTAGGCGCCTTCCGGAGGGAGGGGATCGGGATAGGGAATCACTGCACAGTAACAGGACTGTATGGGGTGGCGAAAGAGGTGCCTGTAGCGTGGGGAGGAAGGAACCCGACTTGTTCTTTAATGGGCAGCAAGCGGGGACGAGGGGGGGAAGGGGGGCAAGGGGGGAAGGGGAAGGGAAATGTGTACGGAGAGGTGGGCTGACCTTAGTGCGAGGAGGGAGAGACCAGACGTGTGGCGAGCCGAAGAGAAGCTCCAGCATGAGCACTCCCACGCTCCACATGTCGTAGCTGAGAGGGGGGAGAGATGAACCAAGAACGAGCAGGATGTCACATCTGCGTAAAAACCTTCACCTACCAGTAACAAGCTCCAGCAGGAGCACTGCCACACTCCACATGTGGTAGGAAGGGTTGGGGGAGCGGAGGAGGAAGGGAGGAGTAGGGAGTGGTAGGGAGGAGTAGGGAGGAGTAGGGAGGAGTAGGGAGGAGCAGGGAGAAGTAGGGAGGAGTAGCGAGGAGTAGGGAGGAGTAGCGAAGTGTAGGCCATACATGCCAAAGAGGAGCTCTAGCACGAGCACTGCCACACTCCACATGCTGTAGCTGAATGGGTGCGTGGAGGGGGGTGGGGGGGCAGCTTTAAGGAGTAGACCTCCCATGTGTGTTCCACCCTCCCATGATCTACATGTTGGGGCTGAAAACGTGGGGGAAGGGGGGGAGTTGGAAAATGGTTTCAAGAGAGGGAAATGGTTGGATGAGTCTTTCCCAAGCCCACCCTTGCGAGTGCCATCACGTCTCAAGCATACCCGTAGTGCATCCTGGCGCTGACGTGGAAGCAACTGCTGCTGGAGCTGTTCCGCGTGCAGTTAACACCTCCCCCAGCTGCACCTCCACCAGATGCCCCTCCCCCTGCTGCCGCCCCTGCCCCTCCAGATGCACCCGCTTCTTCCCCCGGACCTCCACCACTTGGGGGGTTTTGAGGCAATAGCAGCACCTCCGGAGGCGAGTAGAGCTCTGTCTCCTCCGCGCTGAAAGAAGGGTTGGGGAAGGGGGTTGGGGTATGGGCAGGGAGGTACAGCGCAAGGGGAAGGCGGCAAGGAAAATGAGCAAGGGAGATTAGCAGCAGTAGAGCTCTGCCTCCTCTGCATTGAAAGAGGGTTGAGAAGGAGGGAGGCAGGGGGGAAAGGGAGGGGTAATCCCCAAGGCCAGAGGGGAGCGAGAAGGAAAATGAAGGGGGGAGGGGTTTTCCAGCAGCAGCAGCACGTCGGGTGGCGAGTGGAGTTCTGACTCCTCTGCACTGGAAATAACAGAGCAGGCGGGGAAGCGGAGGAGTGGAGGGGCGTGGTGTCAGTGTGTGGGGGCGAGAAGGGGGGTTGAGTTGAACCAAAAGGAACCTTAGGGGTCGGATGATTCGGGAAGACAGAGCCATTGTCAGCTCCCTATTGTAACGGACAGGAGGAGCTATTTGGAGAGGGAGGTGCTACCTATCTGTAATCTCACCTGAAGGGGGAGGCTCCCCCAAAGGCTCGCAGGTGGATCGGCGTGGGAAAGGGGGGCTGGTTTCCTCCTGGGATCTCCTTAAAGCCCAAAAAAAAAAAGAACAAAAAAAGGGGGGGGAGGCGTTACCTGGAGGGCCCTGTTGGCCCGTAGAGGAAGCGCGCAGAGTGCGAGTCAACAGCTGAGCCCAAGTCAAGAAGCCGACTACACCGGGTTGGTTGGGAAGAGGAGAGATCAGGAAAGGGGAGGAGAGAGAAGAGGCAGACAGTGGAGTGGAGGGAATGCTTTCGGTACTGATCCAGCAAGGCAGACAACAGGTCAACTGACTTGGGTTCCAAGGAATGGCACAGCTTGGGGCTGAGTGAGGGGGAAAGGCGTGAAAAGAGCGAGTACAGTGTGACTCCGTAGCCCACCCACCCACCTGAGGGTTGCGCTCACACATGGGTGTCGGAATTGAAATCAGGCAGCGGGTTTGCCATAGGATCATGGCCACGTGTTGCACTGGCTGTTGAGGATGACCCTGCTGCTCCTCCTACTTCTTCTCCTGCTTTTCCTACTTCTCCTGCTCCTCCTGCTCCAACTCCTGCTGCTGCTGCTAGCACTTCTCCTGCAGCGGCTGATGGTGAGGAGGAGTCGGGTGTGGATGCATGCGATGTCTGCCCATCCTTGACTCCCTTGGAGCACTCTGGTTCTGACCTGCTGTTCTTCCTCCTATAATGAGGCTTCAGGATGATATTCTCTATCAAGGGACACAAGCGAGATGGATGGGGATTTAGGGAGGAAAGATGGAGAGAATAGGCGTACAATGTATGTTGACAGAATGACATACGGTTATATTTCCGATGGAACATCAAGCAGGTGCGGTAGTTCGATACGTGGCCACCACTTAAAAAAAAAATCAGAAACTCCAGTGATTGGTCGTGCAAACTTTCGTGAAAAATTGCGGTGGTAACGGGTTTCAGCTTTCAGCATTCTTCAGTCCACAAAGAGTCCTAATGAGAACGAGCACTACTTACATGCCTAGAAAATGTCGCGACAGAATGTGGTTATTCCCATTAGAACCCCTTGTGGTCTGAAGAATGCTGAAAGCCGAAACCAGTTACCACCACTGCATTTTTTTTATGATAGTTTTTTACAAACGCTCTCTACTAACAATCACAGGTGTCGAAATTCTTAAAATTTCTTGCCATGTAGTAACACCATGGCACCTACTTGGTGTTTCATCGGACTCAAGACACCGGCATATTTCTTGTACTATGAATGCTAGAGGCAACCACCAATATGTTGTGGATTGGAAATGTGATTGGTTCTATTCAATCCAAGAACAATGGCCACTTTGTTTTCTTCATGTAATCGCCTTATTTTCCCCCCTCCAGCCATGCGGTGTGACCGTGTGACCGTGTGACTGGAACATCGTACACGATTCCAAGTTCTTGGGCGACTACGTGAAGGTCCATGGGAAACAGCAGTGTACCTGAATTGATATCCCTCAAAACCCAGCATGGAATTGATATCCCTGTGGGTTATGTTACCTCCTGGCAGGCTGCCAGCAAGTGTTGACGCTCCTCAAAACCGTACCTGGCTTAATATCCCTGTGGGTAATGTTGCGCGCTTGCAACGCAGCAAGTCCCAGCAACTGCAGCACAGAAAAACAGGGGCAAGGGGGAGATGGGACGGCAGGGAAGAGCACAGGACGGAGGAAGGAAACAGGCAGAGAAGGTACGAGGGGAACGAGAGGAGAGGAAAACAAGGCACAAACGACGAAACATGAGGCACAAAGGAGAAAGAATCCCTCACCAAAGACATACCGGCGTGAGGCATGGGATATCGCTCCTTCCATATGCTTGAGTCTCCTGCTGCATGCCCGCCCATTCCATCCCATCCCACTCACCGTCTGCCTCAGAATGCTCCTCACTGTCTCCTCGCCCTCCTCTGTGGTGCGCAGCCACCGCCACCACTTCGAAGGCCGCATAATCCGATGCTGCCCACTCGCCTGATGCTGCCCACTCGCCTGATGCTGCCCACTCGCCTGATGCTGCCCACTCTTCACATGCTGCTCACTCTTCTCGTACTGCCCACTCCTTTCTGTCACCTCCCCTGCTCCCCCCATCATTCCGTATTCGTCTGCGCCCTCTCCTTTCTCCCCCTCAGCTTGTTCCGTTCCTTCCCTTCCCTTACCTCCATCCTCGTTTTTCTCCTCCTCTTCAACTTCCCCTCCCTCCTCTACTTTCTCTCCCACATCTCCCTCCTCTCCCTCACTCGTGTACAGCAGAGAGGAGAGCGACACCCCCTCGTGAACAAACACCAGCCACAGATCCTCGCTGCGCCCTTCACCGCTGACGTCGCTGCGGGCGTCACCGTTGACGTCACCACTAGTGGCGGTGTCGCTGGTGGTTTCAAACGACTCCACGTAGCGAGCAATGTGGTTCAACCCCATGGCATCAACCACATTGTCGTCCAAGCCACTCATGGGGTCTTCAGCACCATGCACCGCATCAAAATCATCACCAGGCACCCCTCGGTCACGCAAAACGTCATTCTCGTCGCTTCCGTGCCCAGTGCCACGTGGCAGCACCACATTGGTCGCATTGAGCAGCATCTCCCCAAAGTACTTCTCTCGGAGCCCGCTCAGCCGTGCTCCCTCCCCCGCCTACACGGAGGAAAAGGCAAGAAGAACAGGAGCGAGCGAGTGTGCAGCAGAAAAACAGGGAAGGGGAAAACGTTGTTTCACAAAGCAACTATGGTACAGAAACACTAGCAGCATTGTAAACAGCGTCTCAGTGGGGACTGTGCTTGAGAGATTCAGGCCCACGCCTACGCTCACCAAAAGTCTCTTCAGCACAAACAGTGGGGGTGCATCCTCCTCGTCCCCCTCCTCCTCCTCCCCTTCCCCTTTCTCCCCCTCCCCTTCATCTTTCTCCTCCGCCCCTTCCTCCTCCTCCTCCTCGTTGTCCTCGGCCTTTTCTTGCCAGGCTGGGGAATGCACCACCTCATGTAAGAGCTCACTTTCCTCCTCTCTTCTCCCTACTGTCAACCTCTTACTCGGCCCACTGGCAAGGATAACTGATCCTGAATTACGCTCCAAAGTGGGACTGGCAGCCAAAGTCGCTGCTGCAGAACTGCTTGCACTGACACTGGCACTGTTTCTGGCACAGTTTTCTCTGCCACAGCAGCTGCTGCTGCCGCCACGACTGTGTCTGTCCCCACTAACGCTGCCACTGCTGACAGTGCCAGAATTGCCTGTGGATAAGGGAAAGGACAGGGCAGCGTCAGAAGCAGCAGCAACAGCAGCAGACGTAGCAAGAAGCGCAGCAGCAGCTGAGGCGTCTCCAGGCATCCAAGTATTCCTCGCCTTCTGGCACGGCTCCCTCCTCACTGCCAGCCACACCTCGCCGAATCCCCCCCTTGCAAAGTTCTTCTGCAATTCGTACCTGGGGAGAAGGTGGACGGGGAAACACGGTTGGGAAGAAGGACGAAGGCACGATGGGGCAAGAAGAAATGCGGCGGAAACGCTGTCTTCAAACGAAAGTGATTGTTGGAGACGCACAATGCAACCATGTGGATGTGGGGGGAACGAAGTCAGTTGTTAGTACTAGCTTACCTGCGATGCACGAATCCCATCTGATGCCTTGCCCAATCTTCATCCGCCACATCAGCACTCCCCCATTCTTCCTCTTCCCCACCTCTCTCCTCCTCCGCGCTCCTTTCGTCTATCACCTCCCTTTCCTCCGCCCGAACCTGAAGCACCAACCTGTCTCTCCCCCCTCCCTCCGTGTCTATTCCTGTAACACTTCTTCCTGCGAGGCCTGGTCGGACCAGCGGCACCGAGCCTAGCAGGTTCAGGAACCGAACCAGTCCGAGAGGTGCGGGGATCGCCAAGCTTGTGGCTGGAAGCCGGAACGCGCTGGTGCTTGGTTCGGAGTGCGGAACTCCAATAGGGAGCGAGAGAGGGGAGTGTGTGAGGGAGCTAGGGAAATGCATTGTGGAAGAGTGAACGAGGGGTTTGAGGGGCTTAGTCAAAGGCACGTCCTCTGGGTTGGGCGGGTGAGTGTGAGTTGATATTTGGTCGTAAGGTGGGATATGGTCCGGAGCTGGGGTTTGATGCGGTGAAAAGGCTGGTGGACGTCCCAAGGGTTGAAGCGATTTTGACGAGTGCAGAGTGGTGAGATGATCGCTGGACGGGACGGCATGGGTTGAAGGGTGTGACTGTAACGGGGGCCAGATGAGCAGACACTGCAAGGCCTCCATTACAGCACGTGAGCCTGAGGCAATGAGATGGACGCAGCAAAAGAGAAACAGACAGCAAGAGAAATGGAGAGTCAGAAACTGATATAAAACAAATGCAACACCTCACATGAGTGTCTTCGCATCCGTTTCCTCCTTACACCTGTAAAATATGCCACGTTCTTAAATAGAAGCTCTCATGAGGCACAGCGTCATAAGGAGGTACTCATAATGGTGTATAGTGAAGAAGATGAACAACAGGAGCGACATTAACAGCCGCGTGCACGCGGTTCTCGCCGACTGGTTATCGAAGTGCATCTCTGTTCCAGCCTCGTGGCGGCAACTACTCCCTCATATCTCGCTAACCTTGTGCGGAAGTGAGTTGCCGCCATGAGGTTCGAACAGAAATGCACTGTGATAAGGCAGTCGGCAGAAGCGCAAGAATGCTGCCGTTGTTGATGTTGCGCTTTCTCCTCGCAAACATCCTTAATTGTTTTTTGGCGGGGGAGGGGGGGGGGGGGAAGTAGGAAAATACAGAAGAAATTCAGATAAAAAAACACGGAATTGCAAGGAGAATCCAGTACTCACCAAGTGCAGCCAGCTGGCTGCCAGGACGAGTTTCAGCTGATTGGTCAAAATCTTCTGCCTCCCGTCGCATGTTGAAATTGCTAGCAGCATTGCTGCTTCGATCACCATCGCTGCTGCTGGTGGCGCCTTTCACGGCGTTGCGTGAACTGCTGCTGCTGCTGCTGCTGCTGCTGCTGCTGCTGCTGCTGCTGCTGCTGCTGCTGCTGCTGCTGCTGCTGCTCTTGCGGTGAAACAGGGCTTGGACAGCAGACCCAACCGCTGTGGCACTTGCTGCTACGGGATTGGAGGAGTCAGCAGGAAGTGCTGGCCCGTGCCGAGCCTCTCGAATGCGCCCCAGAGCGGGGCGGGAATGGTGAAGGTGGGGCGAGGACCTGAGCCCAGAGCGGTCATGCCACAAGGGCACAAGGGAAGGGCGAGCAGCCGAGGCAGGAAGGGGCTTCAGCAGCTCGTAACAGTGGGTGGATGGGATGCCCGGGGCTGGGCTGTTCTCGTGCTCTGGAGGTGCCTCAGAGGGCAAACTTCGCTCTTGCGGTGGAACTGGACCCACGAGAATCGCGACAGTGGGCCTTGCTTGCAGAGCAAGCTTTGGAATTGGTCGAAGCTGAGAGGCAGAACCAAAGCTTCTGGCGAAGGAAGAAACGAGGTTGCTGCTGGGAGGACCGGTGGGAGGAACGACCGGCCGACTAATCTGCTGTTCCGAGCTCGTGCGTTGCCATGACGTAGGGGTGGTTGAGTCAGGAGGCATGGGTGATTCTGGAGTTGCAGGAGATGTAGCACGAGATGTATCTTGGGCGGCAGGGAGTGGTACAACAGAGGTTGAGGCGTGGGTGTGTAAGCGACGGCTACACATGCGAGCTTCTGAGTGAGCAGGTGGCTGGAAACGTGCATGGGAACGTGAGTGCGAATGCGACAGCTTCAGCACAACAACAGCCACATTGTCCAACGTGCCTCGCTGGATGGCCTCTCTGGTGATTGTCTCTGCCAACTCACCAACCTCCTCCCTCTCCGCACTCCCCTCCCAACACACCCTCGCAGGATCCCACCTCCTCGCCTCCACCACCCTTGTCTCTCCTCTCACTGCCACCTGCCCGTTCGTTTGCCGCTGCAGCTGCTGCGCCCTCCCCTCCCCTCCTTGCACACGCACCTGCTTCTCCTCTGCCGGCTGAGCACCCCCTCCAGCAATCGCGCCTACAGCGTTTTCATGCCGATGTGCGTTTTCCTGCCCGCATGCCAACACCGTCTCCTGCTCACCCTCCCTGCGCATGCACATGATCGGGCCCTGCTCCATTCCCTCTAGCATCCAGCAGAATGGCAGCTGCCCCCTCTGCAGCACCAGCTGCTGCTGCTGCTCCTGCTGCTCTCTCTTCTGCTGCTGCTCTTGTATGTCCTCCCCCTGCTGCACCTGCACCGTTAAGCCCCCCTGTGCCCCATTATTATCCCCTGCAACCCGTTTTTTCTCGCTCTTTAAAGCAAGTGCTGCGCCGTCGCTGCCCTCCTGCCTTCCCACAGGCAGTGGAATGGCATGGAGTGATGGCAGGCCTGTGAGTTGGGTGCCACGAGCTGACGCAGCAGCACTGTCAAGCGCCCAATCCTCATCCTCCTCCCCATCCTCCTCCTCGTCACCATCACCACCATCATGCGCATCATCACCAATCCTGTGGCTCTCTCTGCCCGAGTTTCCCCTGCTCGACTCCATCCCCCGGCCCCTTGCTCTCAACCCCTGAGCCGCCCTCCTTCTCTGGTCGTGCATTGCCCTGCCCACAATACCGCACACCTGGCACGGTTTCATTCGCTCAAACACGCCATCTGTCGCCACTATCAGGTACTCCCCTTCGCCCTCCCCATCAGCATCCGCCTCCTCTCCATCCCGCTCACTCCCTACATGCTCCCTTCCACACTCCTCCTCCGAACCCCATTGACCCTTTTGCCACGCATTAGTCTCTTGATCATCCAAAGCCCCACTGCCACTCATAGCTCTGGCGCAACCCCACCCCCCTTCGTCACTCTCCTTCCCTCTCAACTCCTCACTCACCGCCGCATCTTCTCCTCGAGCTTCCACACCCTCACTATCGCACTGCCCATTCCTACCAACAGGCCTCCACGCCCCACGCCTCACCACCCACTCGGTGATCTCCGGGGTGGCCACCACCCATGGCCGGTACTGCAGGTCCCCTATGGCTCTGGACACGGCCAGCTCGCCCTGCACACGCGGCACACCGCCCCTCTCCTCCACTCTGCCGCCCGCTGCCTCCACCCTCCTCCTCTCGTCCTCCCTGTCCGCCCTGTGGTCCTCTGTAAGCTCTGTGGTGCACAGCAGGGCAGAACGTCGCTTCTTGGGTCGACTAGAAGAGTCTCGACTCCTCTTGTTCTCCCTGCCTACCCTGTGGCCCTCTGTGAGCTCTGCCGTGCAAATAGGGGCGAGATTCTGACGCTGCCGTGGAGCCCCTGAAACTGCGCTATTTTCCTGGTGACACATGGTTGACCATTGTTGCTGCTCCGACAACTGCTGCTGCTGCTGCTGCTGCTCAGTTCTGTGGTTGTGCTCCTGGTAGGGCATGGGCAACGCTTGAGCTTCCTGCTTTTTCAGCTGGTGTGAAGAATGCTTCACCTCCTGCCTACGACTTGTAAGCGCCTCAGAATTTGACTGCGGCCTCTGCTGCTGCCGGCGGCGAAGGCGCTGCTGTCGCCTGTGCAAGATCGCCAGGCGCCGAAGCTCTGAGACAAAAGAGGGAGGGAGGGAGGAACGGTACGGTAAATGAACCACGCCCAACAAATAGAAACGGTAGATGGAGAGCGGAAGGCAAGAAATCCGTCTTGAATGAGATGAGCAGCAGGCTGCTGTGGCATGCGGTGCAGGCAGCCATTTCAGTAGAGGGGCTGACCCACCTTGTCCATCCACTTTCTGCTCTGCTGCCTGCTTGCACCCACACGCTGTCACGGGCCGCCTCCCCCTCTTCAAAGCTCTCTCAAAGGGCCAACTCCACTCACGCACTCCTGTTGCTGCAAGAGCATGTGCCTTAGCTTCTGAGTCTACGGGAAGCTTCCGAGCCTTGGCTTCAGGAGCCATGGGAGAAGGGTGCATCCCAGCCTTGGCTTCAGCAGTCTCCAGCAACAACACACCCTGTGCTCCATCCACGAGCCCCTGAGGCCTTTCTCGCTGCTCCTCCACTCCTGCACCCCCCCACTGCTTCTCGTGCCCCTCCACCACCCTCGCTGCATGCTGCTCGGCCCCACACACAAACACTTTGGAGTCCCCTATGTTGGCCACTGCCACATGCAGCAGTTGCCAGTCTGGCACGACCCCTTGGGTGGGGAAAGATGCGTGTTGAGAGGGCGTGTGGCGGTGGTGGGTGGGAGGGAGGGCGGGCAGGATCTGGTGGAAGACAAGCAGGGCCACAGCAGCTGTGGAGCCCGACCACCAGCGGCGCTTGTGAGCTTCCTAGGAACGATCACGATAGGGAGAAAGAGGGGAGCAAAAACGGAAAGACGGCTGTGCGGTTAGGGGAATGCGGGAGCAGCAGGCACTGGAAGACTAGGAGGGCCACAGAGGCAGCGGAGCCCGCACACCAGCGGTGCTCGCGAGCCTCCTCCTGGGCGTGAGGGCAAGAGGGCAATGGCTAAACGTGTTCCTAGTGCGATTAGGGGACCGCAGGAACAGCAGGCGGTGGAAGACAAGGAGAGCCACAGAGGCAGTGGAGTGGAGCCCGACTACCAGCGGTGGTGCCTGCGAGCCTCCTGGGAGAAGGCGAGATGGGACGAGATTGAGACGAGAATTGAGAGAACAAGGACAATGGACATGAAACGCTGACGCAGATGCGGTCATAGGGCCACTGTAACAGAGCCCAAGGAAGGGAGGAGGATGATGCATGCATGTAGATACTGACAAGACAAACATGCCGAGATTTCTCCTCGTCAGCGACTGACCACCTTACCTGTGCGAATTCCTTGTCCACGTCTGCAAGTGCACCAGCCAACACTCCTTCGAGCAACCGCTTCCTCACCCGCTCCTGCTCCTCCGACTCCCTCTCACTCTCCCTCTCCCCACCCTCCTCCTCCTTCCCCACCTCCTTATCCCTCTCCTCCTTCCGTTCACCAGCACCATCCTCCCGCCTTCTGCCATCTCTCGCACCCTCACCACCCGTGTCACCACCACGCCCGCCTGCATGTGCCGTGGGCAGTTCCTCGCGGTTCGCTTGCGGCCGCTTCTGGTTCAGCGCAGGCGTTTGAGCCGACTCTGAGGCCGCCTTGCGATTGACAGCAGGCAGGGCAGCGAGTCTGGATCGGAGGAGGGGCAGGAGGCGGGAGGCGGCGAGCTGGCTCGCCTCGCCTCCCCCGTGGCCATCCAGCACCCCCACTGCCTGCACGGCCCACTGGTGAGTTGAGCCGTCTGGGGAAGGGGAACGGGAGAAGAGCATGGAAAACGAGTATTGCATGGTCACATGATGGATGCTGCATGGTCACATGATGGATGCTGCATGGTCACATGATGGATGCTGCATGGTCACATGATGGATGCTGCATGGTCACATGATGGATGCTGCATGGTCACATGATGGATGCTGCATGGTCACATGATGCATGCTGCATGGTCACATGATGGATCCTACGTTTTATCCTGACTGGTGCTGCATGGTAGCATGAGGGAGCGGGTGCAAGCCATGACGCGGCAATGGGGACATGCAAGCAAGAGGGCTCAACAGCCCGGGTACTCTAACGGATACGCCTTGAGTCTATTGGAGCTTACTATTCTCTTCTTCCAAACATCCGAATTTCGTCCAAATCAGGGACCAGTGATAAGAGCGTAATCGGCTGCTGAGGCGGCAGGTGCTCGTCCTTCGGAATCGTTGAGAGCTGTCAGAACATGCACCTTGAATGACAATGATATCTGATGTACCTCGGGTGACAGTATCGAAGGCTGGAACAGGGATAAGAGCGGAGCAGACAACTCTATCTTCTTGAGATTGCCGCCGTCCTTTCACCACCGACACGCCACACGGCAGGCCGTGATTGGACACGGCGATCGCCTGCGGAACTAAAACCGAGCCCGCTAGCAAGACGAGCAACACGACGATAGCGGCGGCTCTCATCACTGCGAAAGCGCGTGCCGCAGAAGGTGAATCCGCGAAAGTGAGTGTCGCAGAAGGTGGATTCGCGAAAGTGAGTGTCGGTAAATTCTCGAAAGCGAATGTCGCTGAAGGTGAATTCGCAAAAGCTATTCAACGAGCGACTCTCCCGATGCGAGCGAAACACGAGAGCCATCCAATCGCTTGACCTTTCAAGGAAGAATCAACTGTCCAAATCACTTGCTGATCAGCGGAAGGTACTTCGCTGCTGACCAGCACTATCAGCCATGAACGAGTGTGACAAGGGACTTCGCTAGCATCCTGCGTGTTCCAATAAGTGGATCGATTGTAGCAAGTACGCTGTTCCGCTAAGAGAAACCTGCTAGTTGTTTTCAAAGCCGTTCTGCTAAAAACAAAGCAAACACCACTCATTGGGTTTTTGAGGTGGGGTTTCATATGGTTGTCGGAGGGGAGCTCACTACAACAAGCTTGTTTTCAATGTATTTGGATATCACAGCATAACAACAGCAACAGAGTCAACCAAAACGAATGCAAAGCATCCCCCTGCTGCTATGGGAAGCGCAAGACACCGAAGGGGAAAACAATAGGGTCGGCAGAAGGACGACGGAGGAGAGGGTGGGGGAAAGTGGAGGAGGGCAGAGGCGGCCCACGAGACAAGCCAGGCTCCGGCCAATATGCCACAAGACCCGCCTAGACCCGCAAGTCCACGAGGTAGGGTGCGTCCGCCCACGAAGCCCCCCACCCACCCTCCTGCTCTCCCTCTCCTCGAGCAGCCCAGACAATGTCTGGACCTGGCATCATCGTCGCCACGCGCAAGAGGATGATCCGCGCCTGTGCCCGCTGTAAGGCCACCCCTATGGTAGCTTTCAATGACCCAACCAAGTATGCCGAAAAGGCCTTACCAGTCCCCCGCCCCGCTCCTTAAGAAGTCGCCACCTGGAGCTGCACATCCACATGCTGCCGCAGCCACCGCCGAAAGCCCTCCCCCAAACAGCCCCATGTTTCGGCAATGAGGGGAGTGCAGTGGACCCCTCGATGCCGACGTAAGAAAGGCATGTAGTCGAGCGCCTTCCGCTACTCCCACTCTCGAGCCGCAAACTCCACCACCCGACTGACCTGCCCATGCTGCTGTGAAGAGAGAGAGATGGGATCCACCACGCTCGCTTCGCCGGAAAGCCACGTCCACCCGCTTCCCCGTCAGAAGAGTGTTATCCTCCATCATGACCACCCCGTCAGCCCCCTTCGCGATCTTGGCCACCACGAACTTCACTGCATCATGGACCCTGGACGGGGCATACTGATGCAGGAGCATACCATAGAGAGTACAACACTTAGAACAAAACTACCTTGTATGCCCTATTCTAGTTAATTTGTTACCTTGAGATGGTATCACGTCAGCCGCAGAGGTCGTGGGATGGCGGACGCTGTGCTCCGCCTGGATGCGGAGAGTCAGGCGATCAATTTTTAGGCCTGGCTCGTCGGCCTTCGCCGTGACCTGAGAGGTCAGTGCCAGGACGAGTATTCTCTGGCTATTCATGTCGATAGTCTGCTTCCCCGTCCCGCCGCGCCTGCTGCCCTCCCTAATGCCCCCACCCCTGCTGAGCGGGAGGCCTTTTCCGCCGTTACGCTTGCTCGTGTTGTCTGGGAGTAGCGCGACGCCGTAGCGCAGCTTGCTATTAGTCACATCCTCCCCCTGTCTGAGCGTCCCCGCTTTACCACTGTAATGAACGCCAGGGGATTCTTAGATGCAGTCATTGCATGCTATTCCACACCCGCCACACCCTCTGCTGGCCGCCTGATCCTCCCCATGCTGCTCCCTGATCCTGCATCCTTCCGTGAGAGTACGGCTCCGTTACACTAATTTCCCCATTCCATATTTTCTTTCTATTTCATACCTCTTTTTATCCTGATTCATTTGGTCTTTATCTTATCTCATTTGGTTTCTTGTTCCTCCTTTTCCATTATCCTTTGGTTTATCCTGTTATTATGATTATATCACCGATCAGGCTCGGGATGTACTGGCGCGCTATATCTAGCGTAATCCTGCCGTAATCCCTTAAAGCCAATAGCCTTGCGTGGCTATACGCAAGTTGATTCTATTTCTAGAAGGGTCTATTCCCTTTGGATAGGAAAAACCTGGTTACCGGATGTACTCTGGAAGTATAAAAATACCTTGTACTGATTGATAGTGGAACATTGAGCAAACCTTATTCGATCCTGTGACACGTGGTAATCAGGGCCAAGGTTTCAGCTCAACGCTTAACCGCTGGGCCCCCAGGAGCACGCCGAGGATGCAGTCGAAACTTCAATTCCTGTAAGTACAATGCACTTTCTAAGTTTCGACTCACATCGCGCAGGTGCACCTGGGGTCCCCTTCGAAGGCGAGATGCCTCGCCAACCCTTCGATGGACCGCATCGACGGAGCCGGTTATTTTGCGGGGGCAAACGGGCTTGACCTCGCGAACGCGTCACTTTTGGCGGAACTCTCCCTGCGACATTCCGAGGAGTTCGCAGTTCGCGACGACACTTGGAGTCGCGCGGAAATCGGCGGAGTCGCGACCGACGACATTCGTTCGATGGAGATTCGACGCTTCAGATCTTCCGAGGCGAAAACGACATCCTTCTGAGCGAGTTCGAGTTTCAGCGCGAATGGGAACTGGACCTCGCAAATCGCGAAATTCTTCGGAGCGTCCGATCGTTCAACAGCCGACATCGACGACCGAGAATTGCTGCAGGAAACGAGTCAACCCATGCACCGAAAGCTGCTGAACGGGTCTCAGAAGTATCTTCAGATCGCTTGGATTTTGGACCGTCGGATCAACGTTTAATTCAACGGACGAGATGAAGCGCGACTTCTGCACAAAGGGAGAATGACGCGCAAAACCATGAATCAGCCGCCTTCGACACCGTTTTCTTCATATGGACAACCAGATTTGAATTCCTTCATTTTGTGACGAATATGGCGCACAAATCATGTACCGAGTCAGAAATCTGCCAGAGTATTACCTACTTGGTAGTAGCTGCAAGCAGAAAAATGACAGAAGAACGTGGATCGTCGGATCGGTGCGAAATCAACGGCACAAATGCAGCGGAATTACAATATGGGATATCATCATCATGGAGACAACATTCGTGACCAGCAACTGCACAATCGACGCATCTTCTGACTGGTGTCGATAACAATCAAGTTATTTTGACGAAGTCCTCTTCGTAAATAATGGATCGACATCAATACAGCGGATCTTCACCCAGGAAAAACAATGGAGCTGCGTGAAGATATTTTCTCCATCCACGAGACACTTCTTCATACAAATTGATCGACGAGCTTTGGGATTGCAGAGAAGTAGCCATTTTCTCTTGCAATGCTCCCAAGTTCAAGTTGTTGCGAAAGAGCAGATTTCGCACGCAACGACAACGCAGTGAACTCGTCTCGTCAAGGCCAGCGAGACACTACTTCGTAACAGGAGCTGATCGATTCGTCCTCATCAAGAATCTCAGCCATCCGAAATGACCGATAGCAGTCTCAACATCAATCTCACAAGGCGACACACCAATCATGCGTTGCGATTCCAGGTGTTAATGACATGCGTGGATTTTTTTCCGTGCGTGGCACGATGCTTAACAGATTGAGGAGTAATAAACCTCCAATCCGGCAAGTACTCGTTCACTAGCGACCATACGGCATATGCATTGGAGGCGATTCTACCAGAAGCCGACGCGTTACAAGCACCTGCGTAACTTCGACGATGCAGGAGATTGCAAGCGATACGAGCTGTCAGCACGTGATGGAGATGCGGACTACCTGTTGTACCGTTGCTGCGGCCCCAGCGCATCCGCGTCAGGGTAGGGGCCGCCGCCCCAAAGGGGAGCGTAGCATAGGGAAGGGTGGAGGGGGTGGTGGGGATGGTGGAGGTGGGGGCGGGGATGGTGGTTCAGACGACGGGACCAAGGCTGGTGCTCCGGAGCAGCAGCAGCAGCCGCAGTTGCAGCAGCAGTCGCAGCAGCAGTAGGAGCTGTCGCAGCAGCAGCCGCAGCAGTGGGGCCCCCTCCCGCCGAGGTGGCCCGGTGCCTCTGGTGGTGGTGGCCGCTGTGTTAGGACTTGGAGCTCGGCTTCGGGTGGTAGCTTCAGCTCTGTAAGTTGCCAGTACCAGCTCCAGACCAGCCCCCTCCGTGGCACTGTGTGTGGCCGTCCAAGGCATACTGCCGCCCGCTGCTTCCGTCGCCTCGACGACCTCTTCCGTCTCCGCTTCGGCCCTTCGCCGGACCTCCCTGATTGGCCCAGTCTGGTACGCCGCCGTGTTCCAGCCTTTGAAATGGATATGGATCAGATTTGCTCTGCCTTGCATGCCATGTACGTTGATGACTCTAGTGTACTCGGATCTTATTACCCTGTGTTGCCTAGCGTAGGTGTGCCACCTAAGTGTAGTGGCTTCTCTGCTACGTCTGGCATAGGAACGTCTGCCTTGTTTAGCCTAGGCTCCATGCTAGCCCCTCCGCCGGCTGCCGCCACCACTTCGCTCTCTTTCACGCTCGACTCTGGTGTGTCAACCTACTTTTTCCGCGACCACACTGCGCCCACACCCCTGTCGCGCTAGCTGACCCCTCCTCAGGTCCGGTATTTGCCCGTAGCTCCACTACCCTTCCCTGTCCGACGGTTCCCTCGGGCTCTCTTACACGCCTACACACCCCCTCGTTCTCGGCTGTTCGCTACGCCGCTCAACAGCTTAATCTGCGGATAGCGGCCGCAGGTTTCGCCGACCCTTCTCTGGACCAGGTTCCCTGGTGACGCATCTGCGTTCCACGTCTGGGGCTGCCTTGCTCACGTTTGTGCCTCTGGCATGGACAAGCTCACGGCCCACACGATCCCTTGTGTCTTCCTTGGCTTCCCCCTCGACGCGGCTGACTGGCACTTTTACCACTCGCCGTCTCACCGCTTCTTTCACTCGCGTGACGTCACTTTTGACGAGTATCCCTCCTTCCACCAGCGCTTTCCCCACCGAGGTCTCTCAGTTTCCCCACCCCTGTTTCTGGTTCCCACTCCCCCGGCAGCCCCTACTCCTCTCCCTCCCCGTCCTGCCCCATCTGGTGTGTCTCACGTCACTCCCCTCATGTCGATTGTCCCGGCCGAGGAGTCGGCTGACTCTGGTGGCCTCGTGGCGCCGTTCTCGCCGCTTGTCTCCGCCCCGGTTTCTCTTCCTCCGCCGTCACCGCAACAGCAGACGTCGTCGCCGTCGCAGCCCTAGTAGCAGCCGCAGTCACCG